CGAAGATTTAAGCTGGTTTTATAGTGCTAGCTCACTGAGATACCATGCCGCAGTTAAGCATGAATACCCCACTCAGACACATTATACTGACTCCGAGCCGACCAGTCCTTGATATACCCATTAATGACTGAAGCTGGTTTTATAGTGCTAGCTCACTGAGATACCATGCCGCAGTTAAGCATGAATACCCCACTCAGACACATTATACTGACTCCGAGCCGACCAGTCCTTGCGGCCGGGGATCAAACCCGCAACTTTCCGCTCTAAGGGCGGATGTTCTAACCACTACACCACGGAGACGGTCATGACCAATGAGAACACTGCTTACAAGTTCGCGAAAGATAGCATTCTCACATACCGTTTGAACTTTTGCCTAGAAAACATTTGTACTCGAATGATTCCGAATGCTATTTTCCACACGATTGCATCTGAGTGATACACGATTATTCACAACAATGAGTAAACAGTAGCTGAAAATAGCGTTTTTGTTAATATTCCAGGATGTCATCTTGTGGAAATATAAGCTCATAGTACCATGTCATCAGAAACCCCTAAACGTATATACTGCAGATCAAATATCAGTGGGTCTATACAGATTTTCGTTTGGTGAGAGATCAGTGTCAGCGACTAGGGAAGAGAAAATCCAAAAACATTTTGTAAGTCCCGCCGAACCCTAACTAGTAATTGTTGTCTGATTGATTAAATCTGTTCGTCCGTCTCGAGTTTGATTGGACGGTCATAGATCACTCCAAGGTTAGCTGACGTGACCTTTTACTGGGGTTTGTTAGACTCAGTAAAGCAGTGTAACGAATAATACTGAGCGTTAGCTTACTTAGACTGAGCAGAAAAGGGACATGGATTAGAAGTTTTTAATATAGAGATTGTGTATACTTAGGTTCCAAAAACCAAAATCTGTAACAGCATTGAAAGTTGTCTTTCATACTGAACTGAAACAAATATATCCAATACATCCAATGCAAGACTTCAATAGTTTGCAAGTCTAGGTTACATCAGTTTACATCGGCTGGGTAGCCTAGTGGTTAAAGCGTTCCCTCGTGAAGCTGAAGATGCGGGTTTGATTCCCCCACATGGGTACAATGTGTGAAGCCCATTTCTGGTGTCCCCAGAAAGTGATATTGCTGGAATATTGCTAAAATCGGAGTAAAACTAAACTCACTCACTCACTACCGGCAGTTTCAGAAATATGGTCTCCATTTCCTTTGAACAAACATTAGTCTGTATTGCCAGAAACAGTACACTATTCAGACATGTTATCCTGATCATGGTGTTACATGTCAAGTTATTGCCTTGTCAGCCAGATTGTATTGACAGTATTGGGACTTTCTGCTTCGATGCAAGCCTCACAATAATGCTGTGTAATCTATTGTAAAGACAAAACGGTGAATAAACTCTCACTAGCACCAATAAAACAATGAAAACAAATCTTGGTAGATTACAGTAGTAGATGATATCTCCTACATCCATGTATGTCCTTTCATGCACCCTTTCCAGCTGATGACAGGATAAAAGAACCATGATAATGGCCGACACTTTGTCATATTTTGCACAACTGATTTGACGTCTGGAGCAAGAACAAAGGTTTAAGACATCCAATACCTGTAAATGACTCAAAGGAAGGATTAAAAAACCCACCTGACTTTTTTCATGTCACCTTGGTCGATCTGCCATAGCTATGACAGACTAACTGCAGTAATATGAAAAATTTAGTTTTCTTTCACTTCTTTTGAATAACATGTATTTTTTACAAGGTCTTTCCCAAGAAAGAAAAGCATCTGTTGTTGGTTGGTTGGTTGGCTGGTTGGTATAAAGCTGCACTTAGCATTATTCCAGCTATATGGCGGCGGTCTGGCAATAATCAAGTCTGGACCAGACAATCCAGTGATCAACAGCATGAGCATCGATCTATGCAATTGGGATATGATGACATGTGTCAATCAAGTCAGTGAGACTGACCACCCGATCTCATTAGTCGCCTCTTAGGAAAAATTTGAAAATGAATGTACATTATAAACATGTGCTATGAAGCTACAAACATGGAAGTGGTTAAACTGGTACAAACAGATAAAAATATTGGGTTTGAACAGAGTACAAACATTTAAGGTTTAAATGGGTACAAACATTAGATCTATCTACATTATCTATCTGTCTGTCTGTCTATTAGTGTTGGGAATTGGTTAAAACGTCATAATTGATGATTGCTTCATTACAACCGATCAATCATCGAAAATAATTGGTTAGCGGCATTTATGATTTTTTCCTGGTTATTTTGGTTAATGCAAAAAAAGAATTAGAAAAAACATGTAGTTCTTTGGTTTTTTTTTTGGCAAATTACACATCTTGAAAGGATTACTAGTATGTTAGGAACATAAAATTCCTGGAGTGTTTAAGATAAATTCAATCATGACTTGCAACAAGCTTGTAGTGGTTATGAAATGTAACTTACAAAACCAGCCTTGTGAAAAATATTGTTAATGCAAAAAGTGTTCCAGAATTGTTCATGTTCGATTATGAGAAAACATGATTGATTGCTTGGTCGTTTAGTCACTGCGACCAATCTTCGATTATTTCAATTAATCGGACCCCCACTACTGTCTATCTATCTATCTATCTATCACCAGAATGATAAAACATATTTTCTTATGTATAATGTGTAAGCAACTGTTTTTGAAAAGTTTGATAAGTACATCTACCATCACACGGTGTAGAATGTCTTGCAATACTGAAAACACAAACTTATAGCCTGTGGAAAGTTATTCAGTCACTCTGAGACAAGTGGAAATCTAAGCCCACCAGTAGGTTTATCCTAAATTTACTTATTTAACATAGCTGGTATGAAATGAGCTTTAGACTTTGTAAGTACACTGCTGTCTGTAGCAGATCAAAATGAATGGAAAACATATTTAGTTCAGTGCACTACATCTCCTGATACTATTGCTGCACATATATGCGTGTCAGTACTAACAATTAATATTTGAACCTGTCAGAACGGTTTGCCATTGGACCGTGGCCAAGGACGAACAGCTTCAGCAATCCCCTAGCCATTGCTGCCACAGTGACGTGACTCAACTTATACCACAACTGCAGTAATGGAGGGCGAGAGAAGAATTATTACACATGCTGTCATTTTTAGGGAAAATAGAGTTAAGTAACAAGCTGACCTTATATAAGGCAACCGTTGTCCTTCATGACACCAATACATTTACAACTGACTGACTGAGTTTAGTTTTACGTCGCTTTTAGCAATATTCCAGCAACATCACGGCGGGGGACACCAGAAATAGGCTTCACACATTGTGCCCATGTGGGGAATCGAACCCGGGTCTTCGGCGTGACGAGCCAACGCTTTAACCACTAGGCTACCCCACCGCCCCCCAATACATTTACAAAGGTAGATTGAGGGAAAGTGCATAGTTTGTATTTATCACATGAATCACGGTGACCAGTAGAAATTATAAGTGGCCATCATACTTGTTGAGTCCTTATTGGGGAATAAGTATAGACTTTCTGATGAAGACATCCCTTCATCCATTTACTCAGTACAGAAAGTAGTCTGTCCTTCAATCATATGATCTACTTTGCGGCCCAACCATTGCTATAATTCTTTTGCCTTAGATGAAGCAAGTCTAAATTTTCCACTGTTTAGGAATCTTCCATTTCAATTTAAATTACATATTTTCAGAGATTCAACATTAATCTATGCTAACATGCCACATTTATCTTAACTCCCTCACTCACTCATTTATCACTAATCTGGTGGGTATTATGAGGAACCTTATCTCAGTTGAAGGTACACCACTGCAGGGATTTACCGGATGTGAATTCCTGCGTCCTATACGCAAAAAAAGTGACAATGGACGCAACAAAATTTATTAGCGCGTCCACAGGGACTTAGAAAAAGTCCAAATATATTTTGTAAAAATTCCAGTCAAGTGACAATAAGTTATCACTGAGTTTGCTACTAGCTGGCCTGGGTTATAGTATTATTTGCAATTAAATTACTGTAACAATTTGATGATCATGACACACAATACAAAAACAGTGTTAATATTTAAGTGTCTGGGACCCCATTTTGTTTTCCAGGACCCCTGAAAATTAAGAGTATGAGTCTCAGGGACCCTCAAATACAGGACTCAACGTAAATGCCTGCACTCAGCACACAGCTGTCGCGACTGTTGCTATTATTTTCCATGCAGAGATACAGATATGCAAACACATGTAATGATTTATTCAAGTTGAATTGAGAATAAATTATTAAGTACCCTAACATATTCCACAACTCTGAATGTCTTCAAAGATCCAGATATAGAGCAGCAATTCATGGCCTTTCTAAACACATTTGTCATTTATGAAAAAATACTTACAAAATTAAAACAGAAAGGAAATATAACTTTGTCTGCTCTTTTACCTTACACTCATATGACAAATGTACTGAGAGTATCCATCGTGTTCATTGATATCTTTCTTTTCAGTATTGATGAAAGAATGCAGGTGCAGTGACACACCCCTTTCTAGAAGCATTTAAAACAAACAACTGGAACTTTAACAGGTTGTAAGATGTACTAACTCTATGTGAACTTCATCACTAAACAAACTCCTTTGGTGATATAACGATATGTCAGAAATATGTCATTCTTACATTGACTGGTTAAGTAATGAGAATAACGCTATTATGCAGTATTATTATAGCGAAAAACACACAAGGTAAATGTCACAAAATTGAAATTCTATGCTATCACTCCACACAAAAATTGACCCTACAGTCGTGCGTGTCAGGTAACCATCTTATGAGATAATGTCACTGTTGACAGTAGATTACACTTAGATTTATATATTACAGCAAAACAGTTATCAAATGAGAGAAACAGGACAATCGGAGAACATGCAGGTACTCACATATCCCGTTTGCTGTTCCATGCTAGGGTGTGGCGTTACGCAAGGTTACAGACAGACAGATGACAAACACTGAGACAAGGTGAAAGAAGTTAGTAGCAAGCAGGTAATGTCAGGCCATTGCTATCAGGGCAAGTAAATGAACCTGGCCTAGATACAAGGATCTCTGGGTGTCCACGTTGGTTATCTGACCTGCCTGCTCTCCTTCAGTCTAAGACATGTCCCATACACATGCTTATCAAGGTGGAGGTGTTAGCTCATTGCTACTGCCTTCGTGTTAGTTCTATAACAGATCAATACAAGATGTAAGCTGGTACAAACTACTGTGTGTAGCTACTAGCTTACTAGTTCACCTGATGAATGAAGCCGGCATGCCTGTCCATTTTCTACGTGGAGATGTTGTACGACAGCCCAACCTACGTTATGACCTAGCTGGCCCTGAGCTCTCACAGCTGATGCCTTGAGGGCCGAGCACACAGCTAGCGGACTGTATTGAATAATGCTACACGATATGGTGAGTGTTTGTTTTTTAATGTGTCTCCTATAGTACTAAGAGGGAGGTTTATTGCATGTTCTGTGGTGGATGAACCACAGAACATAGTTTATGTAACTTTACAGTCCTGGAACAATTTGACTTTACATGCTCCATGATGTTGCATGTAGGTTTGGTTTATGAACTTTTAATGATATTTAAAATATAGTACTGTTCATAATATCATTGTAAAGATCTGGTACAATAATGTTTCTTTCTACACAGTTGGTTAAAACATTGAATTAAAGACGTCAATATGTTATTATTATTATGAGAACTATATAAATATCAATTTCTGAAGCATGACATTGAAATATTATGTTGGCATAAAACTTTAAGCCACCATATTTAATCAACAAATTGTTTTGATTGTTGTTTATCTTGTTAAAATAATATACATCAAACTAAAACAAAATAAATGTATGCTTTACCAAGAAACAAAATGAATATAGGTCGTATGTGCACATGCATAAGATAATCAGTTTCAAGTGCACTTTGATCTTAGTATTCAAGAGACATGACACAACATGAATACAAGAAGGCTTAAAGACCTCATGATATAATTCACTCTATCTGCTCTTACAAATTTGCATCAATATGTCACATAGTATGGTTTTTAGTGATGGTCTAGGAGTCCTTAGTGAGCCCAGTAGTCTTACTTTCAAAGAAATATAATTTTTTCTTGGAGCTACATTGACAACATTTTCTTTTGAAATGTGGTGCATAATTCAGACGATTCTTGTACAGCAAAAGATTCTGATATGTCATGCGTCAGTGCACTCCTTTAAGGCTCCATGAATGTATCTAGTAGAGAGATGTAAAAGTGGGATACCTGTCACACAGAAACAACAATAGTAACATTTCTGTTGGTAATATTCCATGTGTACCTAAGACGTGATGGTCTTCTACTGGGTTCTAAAGGGAGAGGTGAGGTGAGGTGAAATGGGGTTTAATGTCGTACTTGAGAATATTTCGCAGATTGTACTAGCCCAGACTGAAGCTGGTTTCATAGTACTAGCCCACTGAGATACCATGCCGCAGTTAAGCATGAATACCCCACTCAGACACATTATACTGATTCCGAGCCGACCAGTCCTTGATGTACCCATTAATTAGAGCTTGTACCGTCCTTTGATGAGCCCAGACTGAAGCTGGTTTTATAGAGCTAGCCCACTGAGATACCATGCCGCAGTTAAGCATGAATACCCCACTCAGACGTATTATACTGACTCCGAGCCGACCAGTCCTTGATGTACCCATTAATGACTGAAGCAGATTTTATAGTGCTAGCCCACTGAGATACCATGCCGCAGTTAAGCATGAATACCCCACTCAGACACATTATACTGACTCCGAGCCGACCAGTCCTTGATGTACCCATTAATGACTGAAGCAGATTTTATAGTGCTAGCTCACTGAGATACCATGCCGCAGTTAAGCATGAATACCCCACTCAGACACATTATACTGACTCCGAGCCGACCAGTCCTTGATGTACCCATTAATGCCATAAAGCTCTCCGGGCGGACGCTCTAACCACTACACCACGGAGGCGGTCTCTAAAGGAAGAGAGAGAAAGGATGGGAGAGACAAAAGAAAGGGCGGGGAAATGCAAAGGGATAGGTAATGTAGGAGGGAGGATGGTGTGGTGGGGGAAGGGAGGGGAGGGAAAAATAAAATGAGGGTGGGGTGTGTGTGTATGTATGTGTGGGCATGTGTGGTTGGGGTATGGGAAGGTGTGGCAGGCTTCAGTCTTCATTTGTATGTATTACTGACTGGAACGGACTTGTCTATGCATAGAAACATACTGTCAATAAAAGTGATACATACATATATACGCTTCACAAAAATTGTAGCCCACGCTTCTTAAGGTTAAAATTGTAGCCCTATGACTGTCTTGGAAGCGGGAAGGTTATGTTAAAGTATAAGAGTTCATTATGAACCATATTCATCGATCACCTTAGCACTGATAAAATAGTAATTTTTGTGCAACTGTGCTAAAGGACCCAGGAGTTCAGTTTTTTAGGCTGTTGCTCTGTATCACTAAAATTTACACAATTGCAAATAGCATATGTCGAAATAACCCACATCGGCCTAACTGGGCGTTCAGGGGGATGCGTAATAGGATATCCAGAAAAGCACGTTTACTCGTAAAATCGGGCAAAACTTAGAAAAAATATGAATAGCTGCTGAAAACAATAGATCAGACTATAGATGGCAATTAGGACGCTCAGCCAGGTATGACGACGGACCGTCGACTCACATGGCATGAAATGCACATGCTGCCCACAGCCACAAGGGGTCATCTCAAAGATATTTTATGTTTTTTCATGTGTATTGAATATGTCTCTATTGATTATCTTATCTTAGCTAATATCTCAGTTCCCCAGCCCGACCCCAACCACTGTCTGCGATACCCGTCCTGGTTTTGCTTTTGAGATGACCCCTCCTACCTGTTTCTTTTTATAGTGATAGTGAGACGCCATGGTAGCTACATCCTTAATAGTTTCAGTATTAAAGTTATTATTTTTTACGTCTGCTATCGTTTATAATGAAGCTAGGTCTAATTTCAAAATGATCATTTAAAAAGTGTCCTTTGTAGTACAATATCAGCGCACACTAATTTGCATAAAGCTATGGTCTGTTCTGAATAAGTCGCATTGGACATAGAAAAACCCGCATTGCTCATTTCTGCACTAATCTCTCCTCAGTAAAATCCTTCTTTTAACATTTTGTATCTCCCTCCCACTGCGACTGCAGTTAGGCTGAACTTAGTTTAACAGATATTCCACACTTTCACATATTAACTACCTAAATTGTAGATATAAATGTGAAAAAACATTTTTTTTCTATTTCCGACAGTACTTTAGTTTAGATTTTATGCTGGTGATTCTAGCATTAATTTTGCATTAGAAATTCAAATATAAAGAACGATGAGATTTTGATATGAATGGATTAATGATAATGTCCAGAAGCTGACCCTCATGTATAACTGCCTGAGGTCATTGAGTAGCTTTGTCTTAAAGCAGAACTATGCACACTACGTAACATTTCATGATTTTCGTTATATTTGTTTTCTGAAAGAATAAACTGTCAATGTCACTTGTACTATAAAAAACAAGTTAAGGGTCAAATGTATATAACTTTGGTTATTGCCAAAGTGTGACTTATAGACAATTCCATTCATACATGATGACCCTTATGTCGTACACATGATGACCCTTATCTCATACACATGATGACCCTTATCTCATACATATGATGACCCTTATCTCATACATATGATGACCTTATCTCATACATAAGATGACCCTTATCTCATACACGTGATGACCCTTATCTCATACATGACCCTTATCTCATACACATGATGACCTTATCTCATACATATGATGACCCTTATCTCATACACATGACGACCCTTATCTCATACACATGACGACCCTTATCTCATACATATGACGACCCTTATCTCACACATGACCCTTATCTCATACACATGATGACCTTATCTCATACATATGATGACCCTTATCTCATACACATGACCCTTATCTCATACATATGACGACCCTTATCTCACACATGACCCTTATCTCATACACATGATGACCTTATCTCATACATAAGATGACCCTTATCTCATACATAAGATGACCCTTATCTCATACATGACCCTTATCTCATACATAAGATGACCCTTATCTCATAAACGTGATGACCCTTATCTCATACATGACCCTTATCTCATACACATGACGACCCTTATCTCATACATATGACGACCCTTATCTCATACATATGACGACCCTTATCTCATACACATGACCTTATCTCATAAATATGATGACCCTTATCGCATACACATGATGACCCTTATCTCAAACACACGTTGACCCTTATCTCATACACATGATGACCTCATCTCAAACACATGTTGACCCTTATCTCATACATGACCCTTATCTCATACACATGATGACCTTATCCCATACACATGAAGGGCGGTGGGGTAGCCTAGTGGTTAAAGGTTGGCTCGTCACGCCAAAGACCCGGGTTCGAATCCCCACATGGGTACAATATGTGAAGCCCATTTCAGGTTTCCCCCGCCGTGATGTTGCTGGAATATTGCTAAAAGCGGTGTAAAACCTAACTCAGTCAGTCAGGCATACACACGATGACCCTTATCTCATACATGACCCTATCTCATACATGACCCTTATCTCATACACATGATGACCCTTATCTCATACATATGATGACCCTTATCTCATACATGACCCTTATCTCATACACATGACGACCCTTATCTCATACATATGACGACCCTTATCTCATACATGACCCTTATCTCATACACATGATGACCCTATCTCATACATATGACGACCCTTATCTCATACACATGATTACCCTTATTTCAAACACATGATGACCCTTATCTCATACACATGACATAACTTCAGTACATTTTAATAGCCAGACATCTGAGAGAAGAACTGTGACATGCCCGGGTTTTAAGGTATTTGGTCAAACAATAGGAAATCATTTGTGAGCAAAATATACTTGACTGTCCGAGTCTTTCACGACCTGTCTTCCATGTTTATTTGCATGCTTTTGCACACACACACACACACACACACACACACACACACACACACACACACACACACACACACACACACACACACACACACACACACACACACACACACACACACACACACACACACACACGCCCCATCCCAACCATCCCAATTTCCCAAAACATAACACACAACTTCTTCAGTGTGTGCAATAAAATCCTAGGTCCTCGGGGAATTTATTACGTTTAAAGTTTTGAGGAAAGTCTTCGTCCAACTTCATGTCCACGTGGAATAGGTTAATGTGTTATAATGATGCTTTTTCTAAGTGTGCCACCAGACAAATATTTTAGGTGTTCCTTTCAGAAATCAAGTATGCCCACGTGTTTTTAGAATAAA